GAACTGCTGCACGCCGTGATGGCTCAGGTCTTGCCTGGTCCTAGCACGGTACGGTGGTCTTCCCTGAAGCAAACTGCCTTTTCTGTGAAGGAAGAATAACTTGACAGATGGGTAGGTTTTCATTGACAGAGAGAATTTCAGAGCCAAACAGTGTGAGCAAGGGCATAAAGACAAGCAAGGGGTGCAGGAGGGCCCAGAAGGCCACACTGGCCAAGGGATGAGAGGGGCAGTGCACCAAGGTGAGGGGCCAAGCACGGGAATGCCAGGCACCCTCCTCCTCCAAGCACAAGGCCAGGGAAGAGCTGGGCAGTCCCAGCCCCAGTGTCCAGGCCCCAGAAGTCAAGGTCCTTCTGCCCTGATTACTGTGACCATGGGCTCCTCGGCCTAGATCAGGGCCATCAATCCCAAAATAAGGATATATGGTTGCCACAAAGATGTGTCCTTCAAAGGACAACAGGTCAGAGTATTTGAAAGCAGGACGCTGGCCTGAGAAGGCTCGGATGAAGAATCACCAGAGGTCTCACTGTTGTCCCTCTGCCCCTTCTGAGGGCAGTCTGACTCCCAGGGCTTTGTTGTGCCCCAGAAGTGTCCCAAGAAGCCACTCCTAAACATCAAGGCCACCTCAGAGACTTAGTTAAATCTTTCCAAAGAAGCCCCTTGGGCACACGGAACCCTTGCCCTCTTTGAGAAGGCTGAGAAGGCAGGAGGGGGACCCTGTCCAGAAGGGGAGCCAGACGCCCTCCCCGCCCTGCCTCCAAACAGCAGGAATCCCATCACAGACAAAGAGCTTCACCCCACTTCATCCTAAAGACATTTTGTAGCCAAACTTTGGCCCAGAAGAAGCACCGTTTCCTTGCCTACCTATCACCAAGAAAGTAATTAAAATGTTTCAAAATCTCAAGGAATCAGACAGCAATGATCCCTTCAAGGAAGAACCACTATTTGGGGCCTGAGTGTTCTAAGTGAGCTGAGTAACAGCTTGCTCAAGAAGATTACCAGGCTGGCAAACAGAGAAGCCACCGCGGGGGCAGGAAAGGAAGGGCTGTCAGGGGGCCTGGCCGGGCCTCCACACAGGTTTCCACCCCTGAACCACCTGGGAGTCCTGAGCAGGCCGCAGCTCAGGTGTCTCATTTCTAGATCCCCTGCTCTTTTTCCCAGCCAGGTAAGGATCAGGAGTTGGCCTGCCTTGCCCAGGGTTACGTGGAGCTGCTGAGAGAATGAACAACAATTTACCACATCCCAAGGTTTCCAGGGATCAACCCGCTGAATCCTCACAGCCACCCAGTGGAGCAGGTATTATTAACCCTATTTTACTGATGGGAAAGGCAGGCTCAGAGAGGTGAAGCAACTGGCCTGAGGTCACCCAGTCAGCTACAGGAGAGTCCAGATATTAGCTCAGATGTCATATCACCATACTTCATGCACAGCAGTGAATTCACCATTGGGGCTGGAGATGACATTCTGGGGAGAGAGGGCAGCTAGACTGTCCTTCCAGAAACCAGGACTTCCTGTTAGTCAAACAGAAGCCGAGAATGGTTCTCCATCTTCACCCCTGGACCCCTGGGCTGCTCCCTCGTCTCCAGCCACAGCCAGGCTTCTCTGTGCCCACAGAGCCCCTGGACACCTGGCCACGGGGTGGATTCTGACGTCCAGTCAGGGGGAAGGGCTGAGAGTCTGCATTCCTCACATGTTCCAGGTGATGCCCACGTGGCGGGTCCACACTTCAAGTAGCCAGAGCCTAGACCTGGTAGAAGCTCCTGCCACCTCACCCCCACCCCCACTGTCTCACAGGGACTCACCAGGGCCTGGCTCAGAGCCAGCTCCCATGACATGTTGGGTTTCTAAAATAGAAGGAATAAATGGTGACTAGGGTGGGGAATGAGGCCGAAAACAGATTTTCTGGGTTCTGTTTCCAACTTGGCATTTGCCCTTTTCTCCCTTATTCACCTCTTGGCAAAATGTCTGAACCAGTTTATCTCGAGAGTCAGCTGGGCTGGAGCAGCTCAGTCTGCAAGTGTCCACTGCTTGGAGTCCCTGATGCAAAGGGGCTGCCGAGCACCTCCCCAGAGGAGCTAGAGCTGTGGAGTCAGGAGGCGCCCAGGAATGAGCTGGTGCTCCTGCGGTGCCCACCACCCTCAGAGGAGCCAGAGCCTTGACCATGGCCACAGGCCCCTCCCTGGAATGCACAGCTCCTCTGGTCTTGCCTGGGTGCTGCCTTCTCCTTGGGGCCCTTAGTTCGGGGCCACCCTGGTGAACCCTAGTTTACTATTTAACTAGTTGTCCCTGTGCCCCACCCTACCCTACTCCCAAAGCACCTTTTCCTGTCCCCGCTGTATTCTTCTGACTGCATTCACCACACCAGGCACCCTACACACAAAAGCACCCTATTCCTTATCTGAACCCCTGCCCTTCCCTCCGAGAAATGGGCCTCCTGAGGGATGGGTTCTGTCTTCTTTGTCTGTTTTGCTCCCTGGTGTGTCTCCAGTGCCTAAACGGTGGCAAGCCCTCAGTAGGTGCGCAATATTGGTGGAACAAATGCATGAATGGACGAATGTCCTGCCTGCCAGGCCTCACTAGCCTGGGAGAAACACTGGCTTTAATCTTCGTAATCCCACAAGGTAAATCTGTTAATCCCCATTCTAAAATGTGAAAACTGAGGCTCCAGTAGGTGGTGATTTGAGCAAGGTCACAGTGTCAAGTAGCAACAGGGCCAGGGCTCAGGCCCAGGCTGGCTGGGTCCAAAGACTGAGCTCCTTTCTGCCTGTGGCTGTCCTCAAGGTAACTGTCTTAGTTCAAGAAACAGGTCATTAACTTGCTTTCCTCATTCTGAGTAGCAATTGCTTTAACTTAAGGATTCTGACAAGTTTGCTCAGAACTTGTGCCACCACACCTAAAGGGGTCTAAGGAAAAGCCAGGAGGCCTGGGGCTGGGAGTAATGCCAACACCAGCCCAAGGGAACCCCAGAGCCAAAGGAAGGTGTGTCAGCCACCCTCAGATACCTGAAGTCTAAAGGAGACCACAATATCCCTGTTTGCAATTCATCTTTTTTGTTGCTTTATTATTATTATTATTATTTTAATCTTCCTGAGCAATCTCTTTGACCTCCCTAAGTCTTGAGGACCTTTTATCATCAATGGCTACTGCTCACTATGTGAGTCTCCGTGACAAAAATCTGTCTCCCATTGAGTTTCCCACAACTGAACCTGCACAAGACCCCTGAACCACCTGCTGCTCATCCTACCCCACCCCAAGCGCTACTCATGAACCAGGCTCTGGAGAGGGAGCCCAGCCCAGCAGGGGACATGAAGGTGAGTAAAACAAGCTCCTGCCACCAAAAACCACTCCACTGTCATTCCAGGGCCCACCATGGTTTGAGTGCCCTTCTCTGCTCCCACTCCTCGCTCTCAATCATGTTAACTTGCCTGTTTCGTTAAGTCACCTCTCACTACCTGAAGCTACTTCACTTATTTACTCCCATATGAGCTGACTCCCCAAGGACACTCAGCATATGGAGGCAGGGCTTGGTCAGCACTGTTCCCCACGGTCTGTGACTGGCACAGGTTGGGCATGCGTGTATTGGTTGAATGAATGAGCAAAAAGACCAGGAAACAAGTGGATTGGGAGGAAAAAACAGGAGAGGAGACCGGGGAGGACAAGCCAGTGAACCTAACAAGGAAGGCAAGGTCAAACTGCCTTTGAGGCTCTGGGGACTGAACGCTGGAGGAAGAGTTCCCTAGCATGCTCACATCACTGAGAAGAGTCGTTTCTCACCAAGCAGAGTCCAGGTGGGATCTGGGCTTCTTCCACACCTAGCGCCATCACATCCCCTTCATCTACTCTGAACACACCTGCCCAAAGCAAGGTGCCAACGTTGAGAGTGTCCAAACCCAAGTTCTGATTTCGAGGCACTAATACCATAAATGACCAACACAACCCATTCTTGAAGAGGAAATGTGACATCACTGTCCATTTCTGGGTAGTTTGAGGGTAGAAGGTTGAAAATGGTGCTGATATCCTTTCCTGGATGACCATCATTCATTCATTCACTTTCATGCTTTTGTTCAGCCACATGCATCCAGCAGCTTTGGGAAGCCAGAGATGAAGTAGGACAGAACCTCTGCCCTCTCGTCAGTCTACTGGTGCCTGTGGTTTTGGCGGGTACTAAAAGACAAGCAAATATTAACCATACTTGCTTCCAAAACAAATAAGGCCACGTGGAGCTGTGCTCTGGAATGGGATTTTGGCTGCAATTTTGATTTGATTAGTTGGAAGAACCAATTCAGTCAACCGGGTCATGGACCAACTCCAGGCACCAGGCTTCTACTGAAGTCCCCTGCTCTTCTAGGTACCAAGCCCCTCACCCACCCAACTCCATATCCCAACGTTCTCACCTCTCTTGATAATGTTCTCCCTCCAGACTCCTGGGACTCTACTTCCCCCTTATTCCTATACTACAACCCAACCTGACCTCTCCAGGTCTGCATCCTTGACAGGCTCCTCTGAACCCCAGGACACACACCCCAACCTGTCACCACCACCCCCATATGCTCCAAGTCCGAGCTTCCACCTGGGGCCCTGGAACACCATATGTTTACAACCCCGGGTTCTCGGGACACCAAACACACACCATACACACACTCTGGTCGCCCGCCATCCGCTCACTCTGTGTCCTGAGGCTGCGCCCCCGCATCACCTCCAACTTCTAAAAGCCGAGGCCGGCGTGGCCCCCCGGGTCCCGACACCCGCCGACTCCGGGGCCGCTGCGCCCTGACTGCGCGGACGCCAGCCCAGCGCGCCCAACTCCGGGCGCCGGCACAACCCCCCGCCCCACCCCGCGCGACCCCGGGACCCCGGCTCCCCGGGGGCCCGGCCCCGCGCACGTCCCCCGGGCCTGCGCCGGCGGCTCGGCCGCGCCCCGCGCCCGGCGCGCCCGGGGGCCCGGCCCGGCCGGGCGGAGGCCGCGGCACCCCCCGCAGCCCCAGCGGCGCACCCGCGCGTACCGTTGGCGATGAGCTTGGCCGACAGCTGCTTGACGAGCTCGGGGATCCGCTCCCACTGGCACTCGGAGCGGCAGCGCTCGATCTCCGTCTCCAGCCGCGAGCCCGCCTTCTTGGTCGCCATCGCGGCCTGGCCGGGCCCCGCCGCCCGCAGGCCCCGCAGGCCCCGCAGGCCCGCCGCCGCCGGGCGCCCCCTCGCCGCCGCCCGCTGCCGCCGCGGGCTCGGGCTCCGGCTCCCGGCTCCGCGGCGTAACGGGAGCGCCGGCCGGGGAAGGGGCGGGGAGGCGGGCGGCGGCGGCGGGCGCGGCGGGGCCCCGGGCGCCGCGAGGAGCGGCCCCTGCCGGCCAGGGCCGGAGCCGCAGCGCGGGCCGGGGTCGCGCGGGCCGGGGCGTGAGGAAGGGCGGGAGTGGGCCCGAGGCCCGGCGGCCGGCGAGCGCGTGCGGGGCCGCGCGGAGCAGCGGGCCCGGGGGCGGGAGGCGCGGGTTGGGCGCCCGGGGCCGGACACCGGGCAAGGAGAGGGTCGCGAGCCGCACGGAGAGGCCGGCGGCCCCGGACAGGGCCGCGCGCGGGCGGCGACCCGGGAAGGTCACAGCCCGGCAGCCCTGGGGCGCCCGGGGCCCGGCCCCAGCGGGTGCGAGAGGAGGCCTGCCCGAGCCTGTGCAGCCATCTCGGGTTACCTGGGAGCCCCTCTGCGCCCGCGCTGGCCAGTGCCCTTTATTAGGCTCCCCGCTGCCCTGGCTGCCGAGCCGCCATCCGGCCAGAGGTGGGCGGAGGCTCCTCCATCTGCACCTGCCAGAGGTTCCATCGTGTCCCAACCCAGCCAGGAGCCAGCTCCCCTGCCCTGCGAGGAGACCACGGCCACCAGTGGGCTTTCCTTGTCGTGGCCCCTGTAGTCCGAGAGCCAGGGGCAGCCGGCTCCGCAGTGCATTCATTCCACAATTACAGGGTGGTCATCCAGTGTTTTAGGTGAGGGAGTCACAGCCTGCCAGGGTGGAACTTCCATGTCAGTCAGAGGCATGAAGAACTGAGCAGAACAAAGTAGTAAATTAGAAGGTCAAAATGGAGAGTTGAGGCTGCAGCTTAGTGGCAGAGCGCCTGCCTAGCAAGTGAAGGGCCCTGGGTTCTAGCCCCAGCACCTACCATAAGTAAATGGAAATAAGCAAAAGGTTAATAAATGGTATCAGCAGAGGATACAGAGGGAGTGGGTGGGAGCTGTGATTTTTTTCGTGACCTGCCTTACAGGAGCAGTACTGTGGTTGCAGTATTGAGAATACTGCCAGCAGGTCAGGAGACAGATGGTGCTGGTTGGACCGAGGAAGTGAAGGTATTGGACTCTAAACACTGTATCTGGGGATGAAGCTGTCACCTCCATGCCTGAGGAGCCCTGAGGTCATCATCACTATCCCCTCCACCTATGGGTTCCTTTCTCAGGCCCTCCATAGACCCGGGGGCTCATGAAGAACAGATTCTGGGGACCATGTTTTTCCAATGAGGAACCTTGTTAGAAAAGGGATGGGAGGAGGGAGGATCAGAAGATGTTTTCTGATGTGACCAGCACAACTTTCAGTTCCTCTGAGATGATGAAAGTTGACCTGATGGCATCAGACACTAAGGACAGCCCAGGGTTCAGGGAAATAGAATGGCTGAGTTTCCGCAGGAGACCGTTTGGTGCCCTCTCCCTTTGCTTCCACCAAGAGAGCACCGGAAGGAAGGGAAGGGCAGGGCATCTCCATGGGAAGCACTCCCCTCCTGACTCCAGCTTAGAAGTGCATCTCACCAGATGTTGGCCTGGAATGTTCTCCGTCTCTGGCCCAGGAGAGAAGTTCCTGTGCAGTCTTCTCGGGTCAGAGGTCACCGAGAGGCCTTGCTCACCATCTGACATCTGCTGTTAACCCACAGCACTGCCTGTTTCCCTCTGTGGTGGCACTCCTAAGGACAGGCAGCAGGGGCCAAGGCCTACACTGCCTCAGTTGCCACAGTGCAAGGTAGATCATCAGTGTCCCCCTCTCCTCCGTCGCTAAGTTGTCCCCATGAGGGCACGTGCTGCCTGGGCAGTGACTCCTCATTCCTCTGTCTCTCAGCTACAGCAGCAGAAGCGTGCTAAGACACTGACAGAGTGCAATAAATGTGAGTGGCCATTCTGCAGCTGTGTCCCCTGCACCTGGTGTAGAGCCTGGCATGATGAGTGAATGAGGCCAAGAGTGCCAAGGTCTAGACTCAGCCTCCAGGTGCCTCTCTTTAGTATTTAAGACAACAAATACATGCGACTTGATGTGGTTTAAATGTACCTGCCTCAGGTTCATGTGTCGGGAACTTGGTCCCTGGTGTGGCATGCTGAGAGGGGAGGAGGCCTTTAAGAGGTGGAGAGTGGTGGGAGTCCTTAGGTCATTGCTCGGTGGCCTCCTGCAGGGATTAAGGTAGTTCTCTGGGACCCTGAGCTTTTGTGAGTGTGAGAAAATTGTTTTCAGAACTATCCCACTCCTGAAGCTCTCTGGCTTCCTGTCTAGCCATCTTTCCCTCTCACACATGCTCATGTCGTACACCACGAGGTTCTCACCACAGCCAGGCTGATGTGGGTGTCATGCTTTTGAATCTTCAGAACTGTAAGCTAAATAAACCTCTTTTCTTTATAAAGGTAGCCTGCCTCTGGTTTTTCATTATAGTTATGAAAAATGCACTAAGATATGACCACATTCCAGGCTTCCATCTCACTTCTACACATTTACTTAAGTGCCCAGGTTGTTGGGTATAGGCTTGGGAGCAGAAGCTGACAAACATTGTCAGTCTGACCCAACATAGAAAAAGAACCTTCTGGACCTTTGCTATGTGGAGCCTAAGAGGTGGACCCTGTGATCTCTGGGTTGATTTCCACCTCCGCAATGTTTTGGTCCTTGCCCACCACCAGTGCTACTCTGACAGCTGCCACAACAACCTTTGAGAGAGACTAGTGATCTGTGAAGAGAAACCTCAGAATGGTTTTTCAGGTAATAATTTCCTGCAGGTGGCACTCAGGTAAATTCAGGAGTAGGAAGCCATTCATATTAATAATAGTAATTAAGCCAGCATCTTATTCTCCAGGAATTCAGGTATTACAGGTTTGACCAGGAAGCAAAAATCCCAACCTAGAGGCCAAATCCACTGCTGAGGCCCAGCTGCACCTGGCAGGAAAGAGGCCAAATAGAGGAGACTTCAGGAGAGATCCGTGGGGAAGGATGGGTTGCCAGCAGCAGTGGAGATGGGCTATAGGTCCAGGCCAAAGGTCAGTGCTAATGGCTAGTTGACGTGGTCTAGAAACCTCCCAACCCCCTAAGCCTCATCTTTCCAGAGCCTGGACACAGCGAGAATAGGAAGTAAGCAGAGGGCAGAGGGCTAGAGAGAAAGAGGAAGACTGTGGCTGGGGTGGAGTAGAGGGAGCTCATGGGAGGAGACACGGCCTCTGCCCTTCTCTGGGTCTGGAAGACTCTTCCCCCAGATACCCACACGGTCCCTCCTCCCTTCTTGAGGTCGCTGCCCCAAAGTCATGTCCTCAGACCTCCCCTGACCATCCTATCTAAACTCCTTCCACACTGTATCCTGACAACATGCCTCTGCTCTGTCATGGGTTTCTTGTTACCACCTGTGCTGTATGGATTCACACACACACACACACACACACACACACACACACTCCCTGAGGGCAGGGCTTTTTGTGTGGTCTTGTTCACTGCTGCATCCCCAGCCTGGGGGACAGCGCCTGGCACATAGTAAGTGCTCAGTAAACATCTGGAGAGTGAATGAGTAGAGGCAGGCAGTGGGCCAGCAGAACAGGCGCTCAGGTCTGAGCATCCCAGGGGATACCCCACAGGGAAGTGGGAATCCACTCACTGCTTTGGGCTTACGGGGGAGTTGAAAACCTGGAAATGGGAAGAGACGAGGGGCTTCGGTGTACTGGCAGAGAAAGCAGCTACTTTTCACCCTCCACGGTGCCCTACTGGGGCCACAGCCCTGTCCTCTGACTGCTGAAGCCAGAGAGACGCTTTGTTGCCCTGAGAAGTGTGACCCCTCAGCAGCTGGTGCTGTGGGCCTGACTTTCTTCACAAGGGCCACCGAAAGCTGGGACAAACCAGTGGGGAACTTGTAGGGTGACGTCACTGCAGGCACCAGAGCTGGTATTCTGAATTTACCACCTATTGTCAACTGCCAGGGGTAGCTAGATGCAGAAAGCTGTGGCCACTCAGAAGGGACCCCAGCATGGCATGACCCACATGTGGGAACCCTGATTGGAGGGTGGTCTTTAGCTTTGAAAGTCTAGAAGTGTGTTGGTGCTCCAGCGTACTATGTCTACACCGCTTGAAGCCCACACCAACCCCCATTTACACTGAAAACCACCCTCAGTTTTCAGATCCAGGAGACCCTGCTTCCAGCATCATGATACATGCAAAGCCCAAATCATTTGTGCTTAGTGGGTACGAACTTGTAACCAGAGAGGAGAAAGCATCAGAAGGTTGCCATCCTGTCCCTTGCTAAGCCCAGCTCTCCAGTGGGGAGAGTGTCCAAGTGTTGCAGTCTGTGTCCCCTCCCAGGATGAGGCTGGACCAGCTCTGTGAGGTTTTCTCTCTCTTCTCCATTCAGGCCAATCTTCCTTTGGCTTTGGATTCCATAGCAATCAAATTGATTCTGGAAGCTTTGTGAGTGTTTCTCTCATACTCAGCATTCTGAGGACACTTTCCTGGTCTACCTTCTCCCAGAAAGCACAGAGTGAGCTTATGACAAAACACCTACCCATGTGTGTAAAGGAACATCAAAGTAGAGGTCAAAAATATTCAGATGTGGGGAAGAAGGTTGTACTGCCAAAAAGGAGGAGACTGCTCCTGAGAGGGACCCCAGACTGATCTCTGAGTTTCCTAGCAGCCCAGACATGGAAGAAAATACATGGAGTGTTTGATTGAAATGACTCAGCTGGGCTGGGGGTATGGCTTAGTGGTGGAGTGTGTGCTTGGCACGCACAAAGCCCTGGGTTTGATCCCCAGTATGAGTGTGCACACACACACCAATGATGTTGGTTCACACATCAGGAGTTTTAAAGCGAACTCAGGAACCAGGGAACCACAGGGGCCAGGTTGTCCCTTGGGAGTCTCACTGATCCGGAAGCTGCTTCTGTTAGGAATTTCAAGATCTCCCCCTGCACATGGCCACTAGCATGCAAG